AACTCTTTCATTGCTACTTTAGTTTAACACATACTGTTTTTTCTGCTGAACTTGCCCTGATCCGTTTCTTTTTCTCGGTTGAGGTGACTCAAATCTGCTTTAGAAAAATTATTTGGATTACTCTAAGATCTTGTTTCACGACTTTGAACATCAAATCTTATTACACGTTTGTTTGAATCAAGTGTTTAAGTAAAAAAATTCTCCCGGAAAGGTTCTAGTCTCACTAGAGCGACCAATTATTTCTGGTAAAGGAATTCTTTTTTTGTAATAATGTTATCATTTGTGATTGGTGACTTATGTGTTAACACTGTGGAACAGGAGAGTAGTTATGGCTAAGGCACTTGTGTCTTTTGGACTGGAGTAACTCTCGGAGCTCTTGAGTCGAGAATCTGGGAGACTGCAAGAAGTTCACGAGCAAGTTGATGAACTTAAATGTTAGATGAGAACGTTACAGTCATTGTTGAAAGATGCAATTGCGTTGATGTGATAAGTTCTTTATATTGTGTTCATGTATTAGTTTTCATATCTTATCTGTTCAATACATTGATACGTTGCTCTCTCTCCCTCTCTCCCTTTCTCACTCTCTATCTTACTATTATGTTTGAAACACATTTTGTAACTGCAACCATCTTTTTGCAATATTTTCACCGTTGATGTTCTAATATTATTTAATTTTGATGATCATCACAACATTACATTGTTGAAGAATGATGATAATTTCTCTATAACATAAATCGCGGTAATACATTTCTTGTAAGCCTTCAAATTAAAACTTACAGGTAACTAAATTTCATGAACAACAAACACACACTGAAAAACTAGTTAGTTCCTTTTAATAGATCAAACCAAAGGCAGAGCTTCACCACAATGGGACTCCTTACACGATCCTTCTTGTCTGACCAAACCAAGTCTCCAAACACATAACTTTTAGCCATTCTCGCGTTGCCCTTCAACGTCTTTTTCTCTGCAACTTTGGTGAACTTTAAGCTCGTTGGCTTAACCGCAACAGAAACACCCTCCGGGTTACTCACTCGGAAAGTGTAAGTCGAAGGATTGATGAAAGGATAGTTAAGGTTGTAAAGACTGGTTTTATGGCTAGAGCATTCAAAGTTTTTGCCCGAAAAAGACAGAGATTTTTGTTGCATTTGTATCCAAGGGACTTGCATCGAGCTTCAGCTTCAGCTAGAGAGGTAATCCACCAAAAGAAATCACATATAAAATCTCAAACATTTATTCGTTTTGTTACAGAAATTTTCATCACTTTTTCTTTGAGTTTTTGCGGTGTTGAAACGAAGAAACCAATGCAGGCCAGGAAACAAAAACGTGAGTAGAGAAAATCAGACTTCACTGAAAAAGAGATTAAAAAAATTAGTTCATGAGTTATTTTTGATGATGATTATGGAGTTTTTGTTTGCAGGGATGGGATATAGCAGCAGTTTCTTTGAAGTTATAAGAGTGTCAAGAAACGATTACCAATTTACGAAAGCAACTAAGAGCGTTATCTACGACGACAGAAACAAGCAGCACAGTGAAGTTTCTACACAAGAAAACTTCTCTCCGTGAATACAGAGAAGACTCGACGGCGAAAGATTCATCCTACAAAGCGGGTGGTGGTAATAACGGTGAGGATGATGATGCTGGTAAAAATTACAATGCCTTGATCGTGTATGAACCAGTCAAGAAGATGGAGATGGTTCCAAGAAAGAAGCAAGGGTTAGGGTTCATTAAGAAGCTGTTGTTCAGGAGGAAAAGAGTGAGCAGCAAGAAATGTCTTGCCTTGACTATGTGATGGATTATAACATAGATAAACTGTTTCTAAAGGCTTTTGTTTGTGTGTGGGTGAATAGTGAACTGTTTGTGGTTATGTTTGTGTCTCTGAGATGTGATGAGTTTAGACTCTTTTCTGATTTGATATAATAAAACGGAATGTATTCAATATTTCAATAACCATAAACATGGAAACTAAGTGCCTTATTTAAATCTGTTCTTGGTATTAATACCATTTTTTTTTAAATGTTTTAGCTTAAGAATCCAAGCTAAGAACTACCGTTAATCATGCTCTAATGATTTTGTAGCTTGGTACCAAACTGTAACACACCCAGAGAGCACATGAGTATGTATCATGAGTTAATCTGTATGTTGTCCATAACTACTTATCGCAATATAGAAATTTATTTAGACATTTCAGGTTTCATGGAGAACTCAATTTTCTTTTTCTTTTTTAAAGTGATGTTATTGAGTTTTTGTTGTTGACAAGTGATGTTTTTCATTTTAAGGAACGACAAGTAAACATTTTCAAGATAAATTCACATTGATGATGTTTACAAATCAATAATTCAATAGAAAAATAAACCTTTCAATTCTGAAACCAAAGCAACTTGTATATAAATAGCCAAGAAAATATATTCTTCCACAAAACGATAAGCTCCAAAACAATCACACAAACAAAAACACAATGAAGAAAATAATTAAACATCCTACATACTTATGACATATACTTTCACTTTCTTTTAGGGTTTTGTTTGTTCTTCTTTTTGATCTTCATGGTTATTTCATTTTGTTCTTCATTTTGCTTTCTTTCTTCTTCCACCTCAAAAAATTTACATCTGCAAACAAAAACTGATATAGGATTAACAAACAATACATAAGAAAGTGAATTTAATCAATATGTAGCTTGCACAGAACTAGCACAGAGGCTGAAACCATCAAGATTCAGATTCAGGTGAGATCCCTTCAGCACGGATTTGTTTTTTAGATTGTAAAAAAAAAAATTGTATGGTTTCATATCTAAACAGAAATGATTGCCAAGTATGTCAGGGTGCCAACGATTTTTATCAATGACGCTAAGCAAAGCTGGAATGTGTAATTCACTTATCCTATTCACTATCCAAATCTTTCCTAAGAATTGTTTACAACTAAAAAATTAGAATTAATTTTTGCAATAAAAGTATGAAAAGATAGAGAGATAAAAACACTAACCATCCAGTGGATTTCCAACCAGTTGCTAAGAAATTGGCAATTCTTGAAACTACCATGAGGTTTAAAACCAAAGTTGTTCTTATTTATCAAGTTCATTGTCTTAATATCAAACTTATTTAAGAAACCAAATCCTATAACTACATCATCCTCCGTATCAACAACAAATAAAATATTTTGCTGGAAACTCATGATAATTAATATATCTGAAATCCAAAACAAACAAAATTAATTTTGAAGAGAAACGGCGATTGGTTTTAGATTCCGGAAGTGCAAAGGAAGAAGATTTACATTTATTCTAAGGTTTATTCTACGATTTTGTACAAAAAAATATCAAATGAAAATATTTTTTGCAAGAAAAACATTAAATCTAGTTTGATAGCTTTCAAAACCAGCAATACTATTCAAATTTCTGAAATCTATTAATTTACAAACCCTAAATTTGTCAAACTCTAATTTCATATAGCTTAAAAATTAATTGAAGAATAATTAAATTACAAATTTTCTGTTTCCCAAAACTCTAGACAAATTAAGTTGTTCGAAAAAATAAAGTTTGTGATATCAACTTACGTTATCGTCTTTTTTCATATGATACTGTTGTAGTGAAACAAACAAATCACGTTTTGTCCAAATTGCTTGAATCTTTGTTGATTTGAGACTAGTAGCTGAACAAAGATTTATAACCATCAAGTATTTTTGGGTCCACAAAACAGAGCGTAACCAAAATGTTAACAAATGCTATATACACTTTCAACGGGAAATAAATGCTACAAGCACCATGAAGAAGTCAATTTGAAAAACACACAAATAAAGACGAATTAAGAAGAGCTCCACATAAAGTAGAAAATACTATAATGACACTTCATTAGAAACTTATGGCACCCAATAGGTGGATACCAAAATTGTTAACATAAACAATTTTAAAACTGGAATGCAAAAAAAGTTAAATAACCTTTAGACTAAAAAAGGAAAACGAAAGGATAACTTTAAAGACTTTAAGCATATCTTTCATTTGCCTTTTAACAACTTTTCCTAACTCAAAAGGCCAATCAATAATAAGAGAAATTAGTCACATTCAGGAAAAAAAAAAAATCAATATTTAAACCAAAACCTAATTTATGGTCATCGAAGCTTCTGTATTTTTTTTTCACATTTTTCCATCACATACACAAACAAAAAAAAATGACCAATTTCAGTGTTTTCTTTTTCTTTTTCCTTCTAATTATTAAAAAAAAAAAAGACTAAAAATAAATAATTACTGTAAAGTGTGAACAATTTTAAAAAATGATCAAAAGGGGACCACTTCGCTGCAACCGAAATCATCGGAGTTAGCGAAGGAGTAATCAGGCCATGAGTCTCTGAGAAGCTTCAGTAGCTTCTGTGCCTTCTTCTTCGCTCTCTCCGTACACTCACTCTGCACCATCAGCAGCAATTGCACCACCACTCCCGCCGCCGCTGCCTCGTCTCTCCACCGCTCCTCCGCCGTGCAAAGCGCTAGCAGCGCCCCCGCAGCGTACTCGGTCGCGCGGTCGGAAACTCTCAGTATCGTTTTCACTAGAAGCGGTATCGTCAAAGCATGCTCTCCAAACGCCGCACATCCCTCCGGCGATCGGCATAGGAGCTCCACCGTCGCAAGCGCTTGCTCCGTATCGCATCTGTCGAAATCCGCCGCGAGTCTGTCGATTAGAATCTCCGGTGCTCCGGCCGCGACGGCGATGTGGCGCGTGTTTTTGGCGAGGCAGAGTGCGAATAACGCTTTGATTCCGATCTTCAAGGCTCGTCGTGGATATGACGAAATCGGATTTCGTAGAAGATCGAGAACTCCTTCGAAGATGGATTCCGAGTTTGAGATCATTCCTTTCAGATCGGCCGATTTCGATCCAGTCAACACCATTTCGATTAGCGCGGCGGCGTTAACGCGTGTTTCGATCGAGGAATCGAACAGCAACCGGGTCAGAAACTCGACCCGGCACGGATCCGACGCGATCGAAACGCATGTGATCCGGCGAATCGTCCCGTTTATCTCCGGAGCTCAACGAGGCCCAGTTCAATCTAAAGAGCTGATCAGGAATGTTCGGGATTGGAGTGTTGTTGAATGTCTGTAGAGCTCGCTCAGCAGCAGCGTGAGATACAAACTCGATGAATCCGTATCCTTCGACCTGATTGGTTTGCTTGTTACGGATCACTTTAGCAGAAACAACCTGCGAACACAAAATATATAAACTTTGTTCATATAAATATGAGAGCTTGATCGTTTTATCCATAAAAATCCAATCTTTCAATGATGAGAACAGAGGAAATAATGACACAAAAACAACTTATCAAATTAAACTTCAATCTCCTAAGGTATTAAAAAAGGATTTAAGAAGTAATCACGAAGAAGTGAGCAGATTCAAACACTGAGAAATGTTACCTCTCCGGTATGAGCAAAACAACCGTAGAGGAAAGCCTCGTCCATCCAAAACTGCAAGTCTCCGATCCAGAGAGTCCGGATCTCGTCGGCGGTCGTCGGCTGAGTTGATGGCGGCGCAACGGCTTGCGGATTCCACATATGTGGTGGAGGAGCTCCGGCCATTCCGTAAGGAGACGGTTGCTGGTAACCGTAGTGCTGCTGCGCAGACGGAGGAGGAACGTGATGCGGAAGGATACCTCCGGGTGGTGGCTGCTGCATCATGTTCGTAGAAGAAGAAGAAGATAGATAGATAGATTAAGATCTCTCTGAATCTCTGACCGTAGAAATTGAGATGAAGAAGATAACGAAATGCTATCTGATTGGAATAAAACCGTGACTGAGAGAGAACCTTTGCAAAGGTGGTGTGTATAAAACAATAGAATAAATATACACCAATAGAATAAATATACACTTTGGACCTATTATTTCATCGGATCCGTGGCGCAATGGTAGCGCGTCTGACTCCAGATCAGAAGGTTGCGTGTTCGATTCACGTCGGGTTCAAAACCCCGGTTTAAACATGATCCTAACTTTTTTTGTTTTTTTTTTGTTTTCACAATTCATCAGAACCGTCCGTATTGGTGACTATTGATAAAGATCGAAGGATGATGTACGACTTGTTAAACCTTGAAATTTAATTTTTAATTTCATCAAACCGTCAACCGGTTTAAACCCCTCTCTCTCTCTCCACCGTCGTCTCCATTTCTTCTGAAACATCATGAACCCTAGTAATGGCGTTCCTCTTTCGCATCCGAGCATCGGAATCTCTTTTCCGGAACGTGACTCAATTCCGTTTCGTATCTACCAAGACCTCGCTCACTAACAAGCAGAAGAAGAGCCGAGATGTCCTCTCCCTTCTCAGAGCCGAGCAAAATCCGAATCGGATCCTCGAAATCTGCAGATCCTCTTCTCTCATCCCCGATTATCACGTCGACCGTATCGCTCTCTCCGTCGCGATCGTGACACTAGCGAGAGAGAAACACTTCGCCGCTGTGTCGCAGCTTCTCGACGGTTTCATTCAGAACCAACCCAATCCCAAATCCGATAGCTACGCCGCCCGCGCCATCATCCTCTACGGCCGAGCGAATATGCTTGATCGATCTCTACAGACATTCCATGACCTCGAGCGATACCAAATCCCAAGGACGGTGAAGTCTCTAAACGCTCTTCTCTTCGCTTGCTCAATGGCAAATGATTACAAAGAAGCGAATCGAATCTACCTCGAGATCCCGAAGACGTACGGCATTGAGCCTGATCTCGAAACGTACAATCGAATGATCAAAATCTTCTGCGAATCCGGATCAACGAGCTCATCATACTCCATCGTCGCAGAGATGGAGAGGAAATGGGTAAAGCCAACAGCTGCTAGCTTCGGGCTAATGATTGCTGGTTTCTACAGAGAAGAGAAGTACGATGAGGTCAGGAAAGTTTTGAGGATGATGAGAGAGTTTGGAGTTCATGTAGGCGTTGCTACGTACAACATCATGATTCAATGTTTGTGTGAGAGCAAGAGATCGTCAGAAGCAATGGCGTTGCTTGATGGTGTTGTCTCTAGTAGGATGAGACCGAATTGCGTGACGTATTCCCATTTGATTCATGGGTTTTGCGGTGAGGAGAATCTGGATATGGCGATGGATTTGTTTGAGGTTATGGTGAGGAGTGGATACAAGCCTGACAGTGAGTGTTACTTCACTCTGATACATTGCTTGTGCAAAAGAGGAGACTTTGAGACTGCTTTGTTCCTTTGTAGGGAGAGTATGGAGAAGAATTGGGTTCCGAGTTTTAGTCTCATGAAATGGCTTGTTTATGGACTAGCAAGTGTCTCCAAGGTTGAAGAAGCTAAAGAGCTGATTAAACAAGTTAAAGAGAAGTTTGCTAGTAGAAATGTTGACTTGTGGAATGAAGTTGAAGCTGAATTGCCTCAGTGATCATGTTCCTGGTAAAGTATCAATCTTTCTTGTAACTTATTGTATACAGAACGTTGTTCACTTATAAGGAGAAAATAACTCAAATGCAAAGAAAAAAAGTAACAACTTTACCAAAAAGGATTCGAATTTCAAACTGATAAACAGTACTGTTTGTTCTTCTTCTTGTCAACGCCTTGAAAAGCCTGGAACTTGAAGCAAGCTCGGGACATAGTAGCAACCAGAGCCACCAACCGAAGGATTCACATGAGAATATTCAACGTTTTGGCACTCGACATCTTTCCCCAAAATGTAAATCTTGATAGAATTTATCTCACGAATCGATAGCACAAGCTTCCCGTTGCTGTCAATGAAGTAGCTTGCATATCTAGGAGACATGGCGGATTCAGGTAAAGCAACAGTCATCACCTTGCTCCAATGCTTCTTCATCACCCATAAGTGTACCTTACCTTCCAAACGAGACCTATGCAACAGAGAGAGCTTCTCTCCTCTGAAAACACCTAAAGAGAGAGAATTTCCCAACGTTGATGACCCAATCGTTGAAGGAGGAAGAAACAACGTCTCGAATCTCTCTTTCGAGAAATCGAAACTCTGTATCGTCGAGAAAGTTTTGCCATTTAGATAACCTCTCCAAAAAGGAGTTCCTTTTAAACAAACACTCGACTCTGGGAACTCTGAGAAGTCATCAAAGCTTTTATCAGCAACAACCCTCCAACGATCAGATTCAAAGTCGTATACTTTAATCCTTGAACGATCTTTATCATCATCAGAAGCACCACAACGAAACCTAACCATTTTGAATGATGTTGATTGGTTGCTTATGTATCCAATCCCGTACGCATCCACGGAATGGTCAAATCCATTGCCACATTTGATCGATCTTGCTTGTTTCAAAAAAGGATTCAAGAGTAAGAGATTGGTTTGCAAGACGAAAAGCAACAGACCATCGCAATGATGCATGCTCTGCACCAATATGTTTGTAGATGCAAGAGGTTCGATGATCTGCAGATTCAAATTAGGTTCTTCGAGTTCGTTGAAGTCGATTCCCAAACTAGCAACTGTTGAGATCAGTGAAGAGGACACTTGGGAGCTGGAGACGTTGTTGAAGACTGTGAATTGTTGCTCACGGCTACGCATGTGAGACAAGTGCTTATTGACGAAACTCCGCTCTGCGATTAGGGTTTCCCAAGTCTTGCAAATGGATTTCATTCGTGGGAGACTCTTAGCTGGAACCCACGAGAGTATCTCCTCCACCAAATCAGCCGAAACCTCCACAGCCATCGTCTGATTTTGGTTTCGATTTCGATTTCCTTCAGAAAATATTTGATTTTTGATTATATAGACGACGAAGAAGTTTCGCAAGTTTGAAGAAGCTATGTGGACTGTTTAAGCTCATTTTGTCGATTTAGGCCCAACATCAACATAGATCCATCATTTATCTTTACTTTCTTACGAAACCAGATTAAAATGGGTTTCAAATTTTAACTAAACATAAATACAGCTAATTGGCTCACAAAATAGAATCTAGTAATTTCTGAAAGATAAAATTCTCTAAAGTTTGTTACCTTTGGATTAATCATATAGAGTTATTATGATTAAAAAAATATCTAAGAAAATTTAGAATAAGAAGAACACTACTCAAATTCAAAGTCCAAATGTTAATATATATATTAAATATCTATCCACCTTCTCGATCGACAGTATACGAATTAAATCAATATTTTCTTGACGAAACAACTTTTTGAAAACTCATTGACCAATTTCAAACATGAGGGCGGACCATTTTCTCAAAATTTTCTTCTTCCTAAAAATGGAAGAAACATAATGTTTCCATTCTTGTCACTTATGCATATGCATGTCAACATCAAAATAAATGTTAATGGATATGGCATGATTCAAATCTTAAAATTAAGAAAAAATTGGTAAAAACGGCTATGGTTAAACTACACATTTGGAATAACATGTTTTTTGTTTTGTTTAAGATTTTTAAATCGGAAGTATTGTTAATATATCGAGCCAAAATCATTACATTTAAATTTGTAACATGTAGACTCGCATACGATACAAAAGCAAATAAATGAGCTCAAGGCTTGTACAAGTTTAAACTTCATCACAAAGGGAATAATGGATTGCAAATATACCTCAAAATGACTAACTAACTACCGTTCACTTTTTACATACGTCAAAAAGAGTTTATTTTTCTCATGTAACTTTCCCTAAAATTAATGCACGAATGGCCCAATGACAGGCTTGGAAGGTTAGAAAATTTATGCTACTGTAAGAACGATAGTGTGCCCATTAAACACACAAATGACACGTACTTTCACCTTCTTTCTTCAGTATAGATTATGAAAATTTCGATCCATTATACCTTCCGTTTTTAAGAACACTCAGTACATTAGTTATGTCAATTCTAATGCCCAATAAAACTCAAACTCGAAAGAGTATTAACAGGATGCTTTGCAATCTAAGATAATCTCGGTTCGTGTATATAACTAGACCTTGCAAAAGCTTTTCTATAGGATAACAAAATATTAAATGTTTTCCTATAGAAGTTATTGTTATTTACCGTACCACTTGGCTGCCCCAACATATTTGGGTGTAATTTAAATGACCACCTCACAACTGACAATTTCATTTAAATTTGGTTGGTTGCGTCAATTTACCGCTTTCATTTTTGTACCAAAAGAAAACTTATAATCGAAATAAGTCGAAAATAGAATCTAAATATTAATTCTCTTTTGACTAGACTGTTCACCTACGTGAACCCTATAAATATAACTATAATTAATCATTTATCATCACTCATATTGGCATTAAAATTTCAAGTAATTAATGAACAACTATACCTACAAACACATGAACCGACCGAAAATGCATATGATTATACATATTTAACATTATACAGTAGAAACAGAAGCTATATTGGAATTAAATGTAGAGATAGTGACAAACGACACTAAAAGTAGTAAAAGATTAATGCAGCGTACTTACCATATAATTATTAAATACCACACACGCATAAGAAAATAGACATATCATAAACCCACCCGATCCAATATCCATCAAGTCCTTGACAGGATCCGGGCTTTGAGAGAATTTTTCATCACGACGGTAAACGCGTAAGTCTCAGTCGGGTCGGGTGGAGAGTCCGGCACCGGGATCCATTTAAACGACTGGATCATCCTAGCAAGCATCAGATTGATGTGATGAACCCCCAAAGACCAAGCCGGGCAGATCCGACGACCCGCACCAAATGGCAACATTTTAACGCCACGTGTCCCCGTCCAATCAGCATCATCACCGTCCCCACCGGTCAAAAACCTCTCGGGTCGATACTTACCCGGATCCGACCAGATCTCCGGGTTCTCAGTTACCCACGCCGTGTAAAATTCCACATATGCCCCTGCTGGAATATCATACCCTCCTAGCTCCGTATCTTTCACGGCGGCGTGAGAGAGAAGAAAATGCGACGGAGGATGTCGCCGGAGAGTCTCTTTCACAATAGCCTCCAGATACGGCATGTTCACCACGTCATCCTCTTCAACGACGCCGCTTTTGCCCACAACTCCAACAACTTCATTGTACAGCTTCTCTTGAATGTTTTGGTCGGTCACTAGATGAAGTAAAGCCCATTCAAGTGTAGTCGCGCTCGTGTCCGTACCGGCGGAGACAATCTCCGAACACAGAGTCACAATCTCTTCATCTCCGAGCTCACCGCCTCTCTCGATCAGATTCAAACCAAACAACGAATCCACATAAGCCGCACCAATCGGACTCACCATCTCTTCGTTAGGGCTCTCCTTTGCGTTAACGAACGCACGTCGGTTTCTTATCAACGGTACTAGACACTCGAGCTGCGTCTTCCTCAGCTCTCTCGCTTCTCTAAGTTGACGACGAAACAACGGAGTGAGAACCGGCAAAAAGTCCGGTAGAGTCGGAGAAGTCATGAGCATAACGTCCTTGAGAACATTCTCAATGTTCTTAATCTTTTCCTCGCTGATCTTGGCGCCGAAACAAAGACAGATCAAGATGCTACAAATCGTCAGCCTGCACTGATTCATAACCTCGACGTAACCTTGCTCAACGTTCTGCGTTTTGATCCTCTTCATGTGGTTCGCCATAGCCCAAGTCCTTATCCACGAGCACTGCTTCACTCTCACCGCGGTCACTAGCTCCGTCACGAAGTTCTTCCTCAGAGTCCGCCACAAAGATCCATACTCCGATGAGTTTATAGCGCATTTCCCGACGCTAAACATGAGCCGGATCGGCGAGTCCGGAGGTCGTGAGGCGAAAGTAGGGCCGCGTTGGACTAGTGCCTCGTGGATGAGCTTCTCGTCCGTGACAATAATCATCGTACGTTGTCCCATTTGCATGGTGAATATTGGACCGTACTTCTTACGTAGGTCACGCATTTGGAAGACGAAATGGCGACGTTGGGATATGACTTGGAGTAGGTTTCCCACTAGTGGCCATCCTTTTGGTCCGGGGGGAATGTTCAGGCGACATTGGCTGCTTCCGGCGGGGGAGAAACGGCGCCACCATAGGTTGATAAAGTAGAGAGCAAACAAGAATATGATAGCGTCAGTAAGATCCATATCTGTTTTATTATTAGAGAGAGAGCGATGGGAGATAAAATGAATGAAGAAGTGTACTATTAGATGGAGTTTAGGGCAAGTATATATATGGTGAAGAGAGATTTAGGGTTCTTATATAGAGAAAGTGTACATACATATGTATGTGTGAGTGATGAGTGATGAGTGATGAGTGAATCTTCCACATGAACCTAAAGAGTAATTGATCTCACCAACCATCTGTGTGCATTTACTTCTTACTGCCTACTGCGCATAATTGGTAAATGGTTTAAGTTTATAATTATATTTAGTTAGCAGTATGAATGTATGACAGTGTTCTTGATCTAATTAAATTCTGTTTTCGGCAACATTAATTAGGGAGATGCATAAATATTTTATCATCTACAGTACTGTTTGAAAGCCTCGATCGTGTCTTGGACTCTTATTAAAATATTTTAGTTTTTATAGTTTTTAATGTTTAGCTTATTTGAGGGGTAAACCAACTTTAGTTGTTATATTTAAATGTCTTCTAGTTATAAGGTCACAGAAGAAGCTACAATATTTTTTCTTCAATGAAGAGAATTACTAGAAGACATTTAAATATAACTAGAAGACCCAATGAATAATTTAATTGCAAAGAAGGATAATAGAAGTTACAAATTATAGACCTTTCCACCCGTTTTGACATTTTCACAAATTATATTTCTTTGATATTAACACGGACCAAAAGTATTATGTTAACAATATAATCAATCATTCAAACGCATTCACGGAAAAAAATAAAATGAAACGCTATTACAAGTACAAGACATAGGAGTTGGTTCGTGTTATAGTAGACAGAGAAGCCTCTGAGTCTTAATTACTCTCAGTAGAATTTAACAGAGACGGGTGGGAGTTAGCTGGCCAAGTGTTAATGTCTTCATTGGGTCAACTTTTTTCTTTTCAGTTTGATTACTATAATGTACTCTTCATCTTATTTCTCAGAAGATAAAGCTAACCTCTAAGCCTACGTCTTCTAAAATATACATCTCGATATAGACCATGCTTATAATAAAATTTACACGTACTATATGAAATTTAATGTTTGTAGTCCGTGGTTTCGTAGAGCATTGGATACGTTTCCAGAATTAACAATGATTTAACCCGAGAAAAACCACTTCAGCTACTTTTATTGTTGTACGAAGACGACATTCAATATATTTTTCCACTAAAAAGAAACTTCAGTGGTTATAGCTAGACTTGTGGTAACAATACACGTTTTTGATGAAATGTTACATAGTATCAATACTAAAGAATTTACCATGGATGATGTCCTACTATAGTATCAAAATTCAATCGAAAAAATGTCCTACTATAGTATCAAAATTATCCATATCCAGATTCATAGAAAACTACACATTTTTAATAAGTTCTTTTTTTTTTGTTAAACACATTTTTAATAAGTTGAAGATCAAGACACATAAGAGCGCATTCATTATATTTATTTTCAGTGATACTTAATTACTTATTATCTCATGTCTTCCAACAAAATGATAAACTCTTTAGTATTGTGACTATCACATGGATTTATCGTTTACCACTTATTTATTTATTTTATTGATGATGACTTATTTCAAAATTTGCTTGTACAGTAATATTTCATAAAAAATGTGTGCTTTCCGTGCATTTTATTTGTGTTGCTAGTTCTAGAATTGCTATATTGCTATCTGCTTTTAACTTCTTTGAATCTGTGTGTTTCAGACCAAGCGCAAAAGTTGCACTCAATCATCCTTTCTTTTGTGATTTGAAGACAAGAAAGAACTTTCTACGCGAGATAGGATCCCAAATTCAATGTAATTCGTGGAAGAACACACAAAGAGAAGGTGTTCTGAACAAATTGGCAACAGCTGCTGGAGTTGATAATTGGCCGAATAAAATAGATAGTACTTTGTTAAAGAACTCCTACATCAGTCCCAGTCCCACTTTTTGCGAGTTTCTTAAATTCATTCGCAATACAATCGCGCACTGGGAATCCCTTCCAACCACACCGGTTTGGTTTTCTTTAACTTTGTTGATTAATATTTGAAATTATGTGTTCTTGATTGATTTGTTTGATCAATTTCCTTTCTTCTTTTGATTTGATCAGGTTTTGGTAGGGCAGCATTGTGAATATTTTGATAATTTATTCCCAAACTTCTTTATAGAAGTTTACAAGATGGTGGCTGCAGATGTTCACTGCAAACAACATGTGCAACTAAAAGACTTCTTAGGTGAGTTTAAACTTAGAACTAAACTAGTACTTGCTTCAGATGAGCTAGATTTAAATCAACGTTAGGTGTTATCAATTAGTAGTATATCCCACTTCTTAGGTGTTATCAATTACCATTTTAGATCCGTTAGTAATGAAAACCGCTTGCCAATTAGTAGTATATTAACTTCTCTTATCGCAATTGTCTTATATCAGAGAGCTGATTCGAGCTGATTGATTCGGGTGAAGGCATGACAAGTTGTAAGGAGAAGGAGATGGTGTAGCTGTAGTTGGACCGCTGATGGATAGCGGTTTTCTTTAGACTCTGTACCTCTTTCTATTTATTTATTTTCATTTTGGATTATTATAACTTGTATGATTCTAACTTTTATCAAGTGCAAATGTTTGCATCCTTCATTCATATGTCAAATCCGCAAAGGCCAAAGGCACCACAACAATTTCTCTTTCCTTACTTTCTCCGACGGAGGCGTTTCCACAGCCGAAGACCGTCACCACCGGTCCGTGAATCTCATTACTAACGGATCTAAAATCCTGTCGGATTTCATAGAAGATAATCTGAACGGTGACTCTCCGGTTACTTGCTTGGTCTACACGATTCTTCTCAACCGGGCTCCGAAAGTGGCGCATAGGTTTCAACTTCCCTCTGCTCTTCTCTGGATCCAACCGGCTTTGGTTTTTCGACATTTATTACAATCACTTTGCGGGAAACAAGTCTGGTTTCGAGTTTCCGAATCTTCGGCCTCTCGCAACCCGTGATCTTCCTTCTTTCCTCGCGAATCAGTTAATAAGGATTAACCAAGAGATCAAAGTAGTTATGCACTTTGGCTAGACTCAAAAACAGGGTCCTCTGTTAATTTACGTTTCTTTTGGAACAATGGTTGAGCTGTCTAAGAAACAGATAGAGGAACTGGCGAGAGCACTCATTGAAGGGGAAAAAGCCGTTTTTATGGGTCATAACTGATAAATCCAAACAGAGAAACGAAAATAGAAGGAGAAGATGAGACAGAGATTGAGAAGATAGCTGGTTCAAGACACGAGCTTAAAGAGATTGGGATGATTGTGTCTTGGTGTTGGCAAGTGGAGGTTTTAAGATACCAAAGCAGAGGAGGTTAAAGACAAAAGATGATTGTTTGGCCTCGGTTTATGACAAAAATGTTGCTAATCTCGTCATATTTTTCCCTTTGTTTATCACTTTCATTGGCCTCGGTATACAAGTTTCTGTAATTTCTTCTGTAAACACAACAAAATTCTGTAATACGGTTTTCTTCAGGTAAAATATATGTACTAGTTGCATAAAGTTATATGCTTAAACATAAAATCCCCCAGCAAAAAAAAGACATGACTGTTAAACTGTGAGTTTGATATTCCAAAGAGCCTATTATAAAGTCAAGTCGACAAGAGTCTTCTAGCAGCAACAGCAGTGAACTTACTTACATTCTGCTCGGTTTGGAGAAATGACAAACGCATAGAAGCTACTTTCTCATACTCTTTCATTAGAACATAACAAGTCCAGAATGTGAAAACGTAAGCCATCACTAGGTGAGTCCAAAACCTTCAAATATTTAATAACAGCCATAAAACTTCAAAACCATAGAGGGAGGAATAAGAATTAATCATAAGAGATTTTTTTGTATAATTTGCAAACCTGTCTGATCCTCCTTCCATATTTGAGATAGATAACTTATCAATATCACTAGATGTTACATTACGTAGCTTTGCTAGTTGCAGCCCATCGCTTGTCCAATTTACAGGTACAAGAATCGACCACGCAAGTAATGCTATCGGTACAAAGATCTTAAGCCTGAGAAAAACAGAGTAAATATCCAAAAGTCCATTAGGTTTCAAGATGAAACTATGCAAAGCAAGAATCTTTCAAAAGCTTGAAACACTACCCTGTCAAGTGAATCCTCAAGTACACCGCAGAATCTAACCCGGCATGATGAATAAGCTCTGGCTCAGGCATCCTCAGAGCCGCGGGCCTCCAGTTCAAGAACCGTAGATACGAGCCTAAGTCTAGATTCACAAACTTGCTCACAAGAGCACCTGAATGCAGAGGACTGCTTCGAATACCTTTCAGATACCAATTAGGGAAATAAACCCTATCGTTGAATGGTTGGATCCTCAAGATTGCAAATGCCAAAAGGAAGATGATGGCTGTGAGTATGTTGATTGCCGCCGCTACTCCAATATCTCCCAGTGTTGCCATCTCTTAATCTATACAATCTAAAATTCACTTCTGAAATCAAATGCTTCACCTGCAAAATAAGTCAACCCTAAAATCTATTAAACCCTTTGAATTCAAAGGCTTGGCCTACAAAAGAATTCAGCCTTAAGTTCATTCAAATTGCGTGTGTATTTAAGCAGGACGAATTAATTACACTTTTATTTATGGTTATCTTCTCTTTATGGAAACTTAATTTTCTAAGATTTTAAAATAAATTGATAAGTCCATAAAATCTTTTAATAAGGAAACTGGTGGTAAGAATATTATCACAACACTCAACAAAAAGAAGATAACATTTATGCCTACATTTAAATTTCATCCCATAATAAGTCTCGTGTTACTCTCATAAAAGACATCTATGAACCAATACAACAGTGACATAAAAAAAGATTTCAAAGTTTGAAACTTGTTAACTCTTAACTAGAGAAACTACTAAATGAAAGAAATGATGTGAACTGATTACCTTGATCAAGATCTCTAAAGAGACCCAAAACCCAGAACTGTGTTTTTTTTTTTTTTTTTTTTTTTGTAGTAACGTCTCTTTTTGACAACGAAAAGACCCTTTTCCTTAAACTTCTCAAGAAGCAACCTAGCTATAAGATTATAAAAATACAGGGAAACTTTAAATTCAAGGATGAAAATATGTGACGAACCTAGAGAACCAAATTGCTGAAGTAAGGGCTTCAATCCAAAAGTATACTCCAACTCTTATAAAGTCACGCCAAACAAGAAAAAAAAACGAGAAACCTGTGTGATCGGTCTTACTCTATGCACATAAACAAAAAGGAAGAGGAAGATAGAGACGCCCTGCTGTTTTTAGCTGTGATAAACGCTGAAAAAACACGGACGATAAAGAAAGAGGAAGGATAAATGCTTTTCAAAACCTTTGACATCGAAAAGCTTGTTTTTTCTTTATTCTTTTATTCTCTGGCATTGGGTGAATTATAAATGTGACGTACTGACCTTGGTCCGCGTATAGTATGAGGCTCTTTCTTCAAAGTTGAAATGTTGATAGTCTCAGGTTTGCTTTTAATTCACTTTTTTTTTTTTTCTTTTTTCTTGTCAAGCGTTAAGTTTAAGTTAAAACCCCATAGTTTTACATTATTAGACAGCTGCCTTGCCCAACTTGATATTTATATTAATCTACAATTACATCTTGTTATATGTTACCATCTCGTAAGAGAAAAGAAGATCATTGGTAAGCTATCTCTATAGTATGAAATTTTGTATCAGTGAGTCAGTAAACTAAAGTTCAGAAAAATAAATTGGTATTTCTATAAATATAAGAAGTTAAAGGAATAAACCAAAATGCAATATAATATTGAGGGTCATATGAAATAGTATAAAGTTTTGTCTTCCGGGAAATAGAAAAATAATCAGTACGTTGGTAAGTAATTATCAATTAATTAGTTATTGTATTTAGATTTGATCACGAAAATAGCCAGATGCGGCAAGTGCCACGTGGGGCGGCAACGGTGGACTTTCGTATGTGCCACGTGGATTCTCTTTTGATTCAAAGCGAGTGACCTCATGGGATAGTGTCACGCGCCAAGTGTCCGACAGTGATTGGATGACCCAAAACAATTTTAAATCCCAATAATATTTTGAAACTGGGGGAGAAGCGGGAACTGCAAACCACGGCGTTTTGCAAACGTTGGATCAACTAGAGACTGCCATGTACCAATGCTAAAACGACACCTGGTTATTATGATTTAATATATTTTTGACAGTCTTTGGTTGATCCCCAAACAAGAAAAAGAGGCAGACCTGCCTGACACGGCGTCGTGTTAGGGAAATCCCATGTCGTCGTCGTTTGGGAGGGCTTTTACACTTTACAATTGGTCAGTTACTAGGCGAAAGGCGATTTGCGACTGCCACTACCAAATCTCCGGTAACTTTCTGATTTTGTTTCCAAGCCGGAATCGTTTGGCTTACTTTGGATTCTCTACGGGTCCCTTTCTTCCGGATCACTGGCTAGTTTCATGTTCTCAAGAGGAAGAAACTTGTCGTCTTTCTCGCCGCATTGATTCTCGTCTACACTGAATTCACTTATACAACCAGCAGATGAGTCATTCGAGCCTTGGAGTAATGGTCGTCTGAAACTAGGAGCACATGTGCAAGACGAGTTATCATGACAGATTCCAAACGACCCACAGTAACCATAAATCATACATAACTCCTCTGGTGCAGACCATGACGACTCCCAAATCTTTTGCTTCTCAAGCCAACTGTAGGCCATTAACTGTCCCGAAACATCCATAACAAAACGAAATAGGTTTTGGTTACGTACTGAATACGTTACGTAGGACTCACTCAAGTTGAACTCGAAGCTCAAGTTACCATTGAATCTAACTTGCCTGAAAATTCTAAGCCGATCGTCCCATGCCCCACTGGACCAATATGGTTTAGTTCCATTCGTAAATATGACGAGAGAGTTTTCTTTACCGTCATGGTCAAACCTGAGAGAGTATCGACCAAGTGATGGATCATCCAAGGCGTTCCAAGAAGTGAGAAACATGCCTCTTGTCTCTAGGTCTGTGTTGGCCAACCGGATTTTAGCACCAGGAAGCCAAGTATCCGAGGGATTATCGAAACTCTGCCACAAGATTGAATTATTCCCATCTCTCAGGACTAGATTACCGTTATCAAGCAGAACCATCTGAACATCTACGCCGCTTGGAGAATCAAAACCGGCACTAGACCAGATTATACTGTCGGTAGAATTATTATACAGAAATAAGTTTGCTACTGAGATACGTAAGCTGATGGAATCACTATATGGGGCAGGAGATTCTCGATTCGCCACCCAAACTACAGTCCGTGGAAAGACATTCTTGTACGGTTGTACCATATGCCTAAGTAGAGCGAACGCGAATTACCTGGTAAGAAGAGACCGAGTTCGAAGACACCACCACTAGAAACAAGGGTCTGATCTCCCGAAAGAGATTGATTGGTGGAGATTGTGTCAGTTGAACAAGAAATTTGGAGTGGCAAGAACATCATCAAGAACCCGTAGATGGATATGATCAAGAACATGTTCATCTTGTAGTGGCTATCCATGTTTTCTTACGACCACAAGTCGAGAGGATTGCTTAGCAAATTATTAGTTACACGTTAAAAAACTAAAATTAGTCTTCAGTAGGGACACGTACGTAGAAAAGTAAGAGCAAGAATTTTAAGTTCAAAGACTTTGACGGTTGACTAACCGGAAACAAAAATCAACGGCACACTAGATCAGATGTTCTCTCTTGTTCCAATGCCTCCATTGGTTGTGTAGTAAGTGATGATTTTCCACCACACCAAATGGAAAATTTCATCTGGAATTATCTGTAGGCTGTAGCCTATATCTTGAAGCAGTTGTTTTAGATTTTGTAACAATTTCACAAAACATCATCAAGAATCCGTACGAGGATATAAAGCTTATAACAGAATTTCCGAGAAAGAAGATATTGTTCTAGTTGGACTTTTATTCACTTAAGTTTATTCAATCAGTTCATCTTTGGATCCTATTGGAAGAAGGTAAACTATTTAATTTATATTCAACTTTGGATCACGCATATTCAACTTCAAAAACAAGACATGCAGAATGAGAAACTCGAACAACCCTTAGCGTGTAAAATATTGCTCCAGAAACAAATCCTTTTTTAATCAGGATATCGAATTATCTCCACACAAATTAAACACACTCCTAAATTCATTAAATCAGTAGTTGTCTCTGTTCATTGAAACCAAACCAGAGAAAAGCAGCAGCGGCTATTGCTATTGCAATAGCAATAGCTAGATCCACGGTGATGTTTCCAAGGGAGACTCTCCACAATATCACTTTGCACGACTTGTCAGCTAATTTGTAAAGACAACCAATAGCAATAGCTAGAACCACGGCTGCTTTGTGGCTGATACTTCCAAGGGAGACTCTCCACAATATCACTTTGCACGACTTGTCGGCTACTTTGTAAAAACAGCCATCGGCTCCTCCTTCAGTGATGGCTTGTTTGTTCTATTGAAAACATCACAGGTCAAGGCCAGAGACGAAATTACAAGTAAGGTGAAATAAGTCAGCTATTAGAATTACCTTTAGCCTGAAGCTCTCCATAGTTTGAGTGAGAGTAAGAGTGAGAGTATCACTCGGTGACACTACTAGTTGTTTGAGGAAGTGATAGTTCCGCCTCTCTGCAAGCGTTTTAAGAAGAGCAACACTAGCTTCTATATTCTCCTCCTTTATATTCTTCTCCTTGTTCTTCGCCTTAACCATCTCCTTTATATTTCTTTCACGCTTCACTTTATTAACCTTCTCCATAACCTTCTCTAAAATCTTCTCTTTCATCTTCTCTTTAACCTTCTCCTTATTCATCTCCTCATAGTTATAGATATAGTTCCACCGCTTCCAGCAAACAACGTCTTGGGTCAGTGACCACATAGCGATTTCCGCAGCTTCCTTGGCTACAGCAGGAACAGACAGACAGGTTAATAAAAACTTGGGACTCAAGGAACGATTCAGGGTTTTGTTTTTTTTTTTGCTAATACCTTTTCCGGCTAATCTCAAAGAAACAGTGAATATCTCTTGAACTGCCTTTCTTTTTGCCTTTGATGATGATGATGAGGGTTTGAGGGAATCATCCTTGCATTTCTCTACAAGCGTTTTAAGAAGAGCAACACTAGCTTCTACATTCTCCTGACAGATATACTCCCAGCGCTTCCAGCAAACAACGTTTTGGGTGAGAGACCAGAGAGCCATTCCTGCAGCTTCCTTGGCTACAAGAGGTTTTCCTGCAACAGACAGACAGATTAGTCGGTGGCTACAGACTCCAAGACAAAGAGGGAAGCAAGCCAGCACAAAGGTACTAATACCTTTTCCAGCTAGTCTGAGAGAAAAAGTGAACATCTCTTGAATGAATCGTTTCATATGCTTGCTTGATGATGACGACAAAACGAGGGACTGAGACTCCTGTTTCTCTACAATCGTTTTAAGAAGAGCTTCACTAGCTTCTGCATTCTCCTCATAGGTATTGTACCAGTCCTCCCAGCAAAGAACATCTGTTCTCAGAGACCAGATAGCGATTGATGCAGCTTCATCGGCTAACAAACGATTTCCTGCAAATTCAAAAAAGAAAAAAGAAAAACTCTCAAGTCTATTTGGAGGAGAAAGAACAAGTCAAAGGAGGGTTTTGTGTGTTACGTGACTCATACGGTACCTTGTCCAACTAATCTCAAAGAAACAGTGAATATCTGACGAACGGCTGAGAGTAGAGTTACTGCACCGTCGAGAGCACAAACGGCTGAGTTTCTAGTTATTGCACTGTGGAGAGCCATTTTCTTCAGCGTGGTGTAATGTCTCCCAATCCCAGTTGTAGGTGTACACTGTGCGCATACAGAGAGACCCATCAAGGTTGTGATCAGAATGGAGGGACAAAACTCTAATAAGAACTAGAATACCTCGTGGGCAGTGAATCTAAGCCTGAGCAAGATCTCCAGTGAAGGAGCTGGAAACAGCGGCTCGTATCTCCATTTACGAACGAATGGATACTCATTTCGATGCCGTGGTTTGGCCAAGTATTTTTCAACCGAGAGCCAGACGAGATCGCTTGATCGAGGCGTGATCTTGTCTTGTGGTAATAAGAGTGGTAACAAAATATGCGCCCATGAAAATCAGCCTATCTTTAAATGAGTCTGGGAGGCCTGTCCACGTTTTTACAACTTTCAGAAATACAGTCAAAAGTCAAAACACACACACAAAATGTGAAGGGAACGAACGAAACCTGAGATATCATCCAAACTGTAAGCGGAGTAGTGTCTACGCCCCTTACTTCTCTGAATATAAGTTGCATGTGCTCCAGACGCCGCAAACGCAAAAGCAAAGAGTGAGAACTGACACGCAGTAGAGTTGCTAATACGAAATATATAGACGCCTAAAAGAGTTGGCAAAAAACACAGAATATGGAGTTAGGTCAAAAGGTAAAGCATTGAATCAACAGAGAGAGACAAAGGAAGAGGGATTACATGGGATTGAGGACGAGTTTTTGGAGGAGTGCTGTAGAAACTAGCGCCACTCAGAGAATAGTTAATATAATTATACGCCCACTGTACATGGGCGTAGAGTTGATCACTTGAAAAGCATGCCACGAACACACGATCTAATCTTTTGTACAAAGTCTCAGGAATAAGAGGAGCCTGTTGATGTTATGAATAGACAAGCTATGAGTGCTTTGATTAGTAGAAATAGAAAATCAAATCAATAAATAAAAAAAAAGCTCACATTCGAAAGAGGGTCCTCCAGTATATCTTCCCATCGAAATGCTACTTTGGAAAGTACAGTGTCCAAGCAATCGTGTAATTGCCACATCTCTAAACGACGATGACCAAGTCTGGCAAGCTTTAACTCCTTATTCTATTCACCCCAACGAAACAAGAACAAAACAAAAAAAAGGGTTATTGACGATTTTGATTTGGATGAGAATAATGAATTTGTTTTGAGCATAATTACTAGTGCATCTTCCAGGTCAGCCCCAAGAGCTGAGAAATCCGTCCCTTGTGGAGAAGCTGGTTCAGGCCTGGAACAAAGCGATGCTGCTGTTGTAGATGATGATGGAAGCGATTGCTCATCAGCACCAATAAGAAGATCACCTATCATAACGCGAGAGAATTTACTTCTTCTACTTTCAAACCCTAGTGTAGGGTTTAGAGAATAATTCCTTTATTGATCAAGTAAAATCTCAATACTTCTTCTACTTTCAAACTCTAGCGTCTGATTCCGCTTATTTTTATACTCGAAAACATTCTAAACAATCGTGTCGGCTTCTGTGATTTGAATTCCAAAATCGGATATTTAACATTTCTGTAAAACAGGAACTATACAACTTCTGGGGAAGTAAGATAAACCAATGGGCCTATAACAGGCTTGTTTATAAACAAAGCCCAAATACATATATACTTTAGGGTAAAATAGCGGGCGACTCACACAGTTACACTTGATTGTATTCCAAAATTTACAATGATTCAGCTCGAGAAAACCAAATTCACCTACTTTTATTGTTTTACGAAGACGACATTCAGTATATTACAGTTTCACTAAATATAAATTCCAATAGTTATAACTTATAACTTATAAGCAGCTAGACTAATTGTGGTAACACTATTAATGTGATATAGTACACCTTTTTCATGAAATTTACGGTCTAATAACCGCAATAGTAAATATTTTACACAAGTTGTTATCAGTAATGATTCATTTCTTTTAATACTATAGGAGCATTTACCAAATATCCTTAATATATTAAAAGAGAAAACACTAACTAAATAACCTTTGTCTAATGTGTTATTAACAAGAATGTCATTGCTTAGGTGTCATCACTAGGTTCACTCTTAGAGCAATTTCTAATTAAGACAAGCTTTACTAGACAAATTACAATATATGCCATTGCATATTATGCTTACAACCAAATAATGAAATTAAATTTATCATTCTCTTTCCTTAATTGGCAACTACGAAAATTAGTAAATAAGGAAGATATGAGATTCAATTTAATTCCATCATAATAATTTCTTTTAAAATCAGTATACATCTTCTATCATCTTTGTTTAAATTTATTTAATAAAATAATTTGAATCACAATATAAAAAATCTATCAAAAAAATCTAAAACTTTTTCTGTACATGTTATGATTTGAATTTTTAAAAACAAAATAATATAAATTGTTTCGTATATAACCTCATTTAGTAGGTATCCAAATGTAATTTTTTTTCATTTAATATGGTTTTTTAATTAAAATCTATAATAAATCGAATAAAAAAAGTTCTTTTTATAAATATTTTATTTTGATTAAACTTTTGAATATTACTCTATCTGTTTCAACTTTCTATACAAAATTAATTATATTTTTGCTGTTTTGACAATTTGGATTCTGCATATTATTTTCTGATTGGTTGGATTGTTTTGAAATTATAATAAAGCATGTTTTAGTTTTGAAAGAAAGAAAAAAATTAGTTCTAATCCGTGTCCACACAGCTAAAACTTTTTATCTTATGAAATACATGATGTATAATTTTTCTAAAGAATAATGTTTTATTTTCAATTTTTTTCTTTAAACTATCTTATTATATTATAGTTATTTGAGTTTTATGTATCTCGGTTAAATCTATCATATTTAATCTGTGGTTACGATCAATGCTTTAATTTATTTCTTTTTTTTAAATGGATTAAAATGCCTAATTTTCATACTATAAACGAATAACAAAGTTAAAAATCTCTCGCATAAAATGTCGAAATATTTAAATAAACAATTTTTAATAAAAATACAAATTCAGAAACTATCACCCCGTGCTGGGCACGGGTCAAACCCTATTGTTACTATTCATCGACCTTCCATCGTTGATTGCGTGGCCTCGTTAATAGAGAACACATGGTTAGACGGTGCTAACTGATGATTGCAGTTCAACACGTTTGTGAACGTTGGTTGTATTGGAACAGGGAGGTCGTGATCGTTGCTCAACATATAAACAATTTGCGAGATTGTGGGTCTGTCCTTAGGATGATCTTGAACGCAAAGAAGTGCGATGTGAACGCACCGCATCACATCTTTTAAAGAATACGAATCACCCAATGCTTCATCGACGATGCTTACACCTTTTGTTTCACACCAAGATTCCCATGCCTGAAAATGATTAACAACATATCCATTTTGGGTTTAAGTACTTACATTAGTTAACTTTCTTAAAAATATTAATAGATAAATGATTTTGATCTATATATAGAAACACTTACATAAGCGATAATGCTACGTTTTTGGTCGTTGTGAACAAATCTTGTCGCCTTTTTGCCTGAAATGATCTCTAGTAACAATACTCCAAAGCTATATATATCAGATTTCTCTGAAATCACTCCGCCTAACGCATATTCCGGTGACATATAGCCGCTAAAATTAATCATCATACACCAAAAGTAAATCCTAGGAATTGCAAATGATGTTTGATAAAGAGAAAAAAAAGTGATATATTTTTAATGTAATACAATGTTTTAACATGAAAACGCATGCATAAAGATTGTATACTTTTTCTTTTTTTTTCTGATAAAGAATAATTGTATACTTACAATGTCCCGACAATTCTTTCAGTGCTGTCATCGATCTGTTTGCAACCAAAGATCCTTGCGGTTCCAAAATCAGAGATCTTAGGATTCATCTCATCGTCGAGAAGAATGTTGCTTGCCTTAAGATCTCGATGGATGATCTTGAGACGTGAGTCTTCATGGAGATATTGAAGTCCTTTTGTTGTGCCAATTACTATTTTCATACGCTTCTCCCAATCCAATTCCTTACTTTTAAGAGGGTCTATATACATGTGCCCCAAAACATAAAAAGGAAAGAAAACTTTCAAAAGTTTTAAATAGATAATTAGATACTAAAGGTTTCAAAATTCACAATTTAGCCAATTTGAAGTAATATGCATGTCACCACTTACCAAAGAGTAAAGCATCAAGGCTCTTATTGGACATGTACTCGTAGATAAGGAGTTTCTCATCTCCTTCAACGCAATAACCTAAAAGCCTCACAAGGTTCTTGTGTTGAAGCTTTATGATCAAAACCACTTCGTTCCTGAACTCTGTAAGACCCTGGCTTGACTTTTTTGACAACCTTTTGATTGCCACCTCAACTCCATTGGGTAGATTTCCCTAACCGTCAAAAATCACTTAACAATCTTTTTTAAAAGAAAAAAAATTAATTAAGATGAAACTAATTAACTTGTCTGATTTAGCAGATAAGTTATCACATTGTTAAATTACCTTGTAGACCGGACCAAAACCACCTTGTCCTAGTTTGTTTTCCTCAGAGAAAGAATTTGTTGCAGCCATTATGTTATGCAAATTTAGGTAAAGCCTTTGTTCTCCATCATCATCTTCTGCATCAATTATGCCCCCTTCAAGTTTCTCTTTGCTCTGTTTTTTGTCTACAAAAAAATTTCCATTTATCAGAAACTTGGTAATAAATCTTGTAACAGTGAATTAAAACTAATTAGCGAAAATAGTAATTAGTCTTCACCTTTATGTGCTCTTTTGCTTCCTGGTGGAGATGAAAAGCAACAGTAAAAAATAATGAAAAGTGCAGTTAATGCTAATGATGGTAGGAAAACGGCTAACACGATGGATCTGAGTTTATGATGGTTTCTTCTTCCTGAGATATTCTTTAGACTTGCTGGATCACCTATAAACGAGAAGGCTCTTCTAAGGCATAAAAATATCTTGAATCATTCTTTATTAATCCATGATTGCAAAAATGCTTAATTACCCTTGTTTGAGATGTTCTCTGGAGCAGTAAGAAGTCTGACATAAAACGTCCTTCCCTCGCTGTTATTTGCATCGAGTTGTTGCAGATTGAAGACATGATCACTTGTCCAAATCAAGCATCTGTTTCCATCATATGCATAGGCCTTGCAAAAGCAATCTTCTTGGCAAGCTGATTCACATGCAGTAAAAGGGTTTCTTGTCAAAACCTTGTCTTCCGGATCACTGGCTAATTTCATGTTCTCAAGAGGAAGAAACTTGTCATCTTTCTTGCCACATTGATTCGGGTCTAAATTGATTTCACGTATACAACCACCATCAGGTGATTGACTGGAGTAGTAGTGAAGTCTCCATACGAAATCAGCTTTAGGAGGACATTCGCAAGACTCTTGCCAATTATCATGACAGATTCCAAATGACCCACAGTAAGCATAAACCATGCATTTATGGTCTGGTGCAGACCATGGCGAATCCCAAATCTTTTGCTTCTCAAGCCAACTGTAGGCCATTAACTGTCCCGAAATATCCATAACCAAACGAAATAGGTTTTGGTTACGTACTGAATACGTGACGTAGGACTCACTCAAATCGAACTTGAAGCTCAAGTTACGGTTGAATCTAACTTGCTTGAAAATTCTAAGCCGATCGTCCCATGCCCCACTCGACCAATATGGTTTAGATCCATTCCAAACCATGATGAGAGAGTTTCCTTTACTACTAGGGTCAAACTCGAGAGAGTAGCGACCAGCTGATGGATCTTGGGTGGTGTTCCAAGAAGTGAGAATATTGCTTCTTGTCTCTGGTTCTGTGTTGTCCAACCGGATTTTAGCACCAGGAAGCCAAGTATCCGAGGGATTGTCAAAACTCTGCCACAAGACTGAATTGTTCCTATCTCTCAGGACTAGATTACCGCTATCAAGCAGAACCGCTTTAACATTTGTGTCGCTGGGACAATCAAAATTTCCCCCGCTCCCCCAAAATATATCCTCTGTTGAATTATCATAAACAGCTAATCCATAATATCCATGTACATTTGAGATATTTAAGCTGATAGAAGTTATAGATGGGGCAGGAAATTCTGGATTCGCCACCCAAACGATAGTCTTTGGAAAGACTTGGTTGTACCATATCCCTAAGTAGAACAAATTAGGAGTACCTTTTGAGAAGAAACCGAGTTCGAAGACACCACCACCAGAAACAATGGTCTGGAATCCTGAAAGAGATTGATTGGCCAAGATTGTGTCTGTTGAACAAGCAACTTGGAGTTGGAGATGCAATAACATCATCAAGAATCCGTAGGTGGAGGATATACGGAACATGTTCTTCTTGCAGCTATCCATGTTTTCACATGTCCACACAAGTTGAGAGGATTGTGTAGCAATATAATAATTAACTAGGATTACACAATGAAAGAGTCTTGTTGACCTGTGAGTCAACTCACTTTGAAAAGTAAGAGCAACAATTTTAGTTCCAAGACTTTGACCGTTGATGGAAACGAAATCAACGGCACTTGTAGATTAGATGTTCTCTCCTGTTCCATTGGTTGTGTAGACGTAAGTGATGATTTTCACCAAGGCGCCTTTTTAAACAACAAAATTTTGTATATGAAGCTTACAATTTTTTTCCAAAAATAAGGAAAATAATATATATAGTAAGGTCTTGTAATTAACTTTAGATTATTCAATCAGTTGAACTTTGGATCCTACTGGAAAAAAAGGTAAACTCTATTATACATACATCTCATAGCATTAGGCCAAGCTATTTAAGCCGTTGATTTTCCAACTCCATTTGCTCAGATCCAACGATCACATAACCCTCCTGAGATCTTCACAGGAATCTTCTTCTGTCCTCTGCTCTCAGTACCTTGGTGCATCATTACCCCCTTGTGAAAATCTCTTCTCCTTTAACCTCCTCACTGCTTTGCCTGTTCAAAGATTCAGAACCAACAATGGAACACTTAAACACTCACACTAGACAAAGAGCTTCAAGTTCATGATCAAATACAAATGCGATGAGTTCGATTTTGTAAATCTTGATCACTAATCAGTAAAGGTTTGTGGTCTGAAGAATGTAAAGCAAAATAGGATCATCTTTGTCTGTCTGCTTTTCTCTCTCTTATAATTTCAGAGCAGACAGATAATGAGAAAAAAGGCCTTGTGACTACAGACTATGAAATACCTGAGAATAGATGAAAGTTCCAAGAATAGCAATGGCAGCACCGAGGGCATTGACAGGTCTAATCGGGGTGTGGAAGATGATGATGGAGGCAACGATGACTGAGATCCGCTTCATCGTGTTCCCAACGCTAAATGTCAAAGGAGAGATCTGGTCGAGTGACATGTACGAGACTTGATTATACAAATGGTAGAACACACTCTGTGCCACTACCCACCTGAATTCAAACAAACAGTCACAAAGTATCATCAAAATCAAATCCTTTCCACAAGATCAAATGAATCACTCATAATAGTTTGAGTTAAAGTTACCAGACGAAGTTTGGTCCAATCTCAGAGACGGCGTTTCGCCACCCAGCAGCCCAAATCTGAGGACCTTCCACGGCAATAGCAAAAGGAGTAACGATGAGAAGAGACATCATAGACAAGCAAGCGTAGTAATTCATCCCACTCACTGACTTCCCCTTCATCCCCTTCTTTGAGAATATGTTCCTAAACACAAACGCCAAATTCGATATCATAGCCCCCATAAACCCTGCAAACAAAAACCCCAAAAAACACACTTTTATCCTCTTCTTCCTGCAAAACATGCGTCTGCAATGACTCAAACATACTTTACTGAATTATTACCGATCATATTGAAGTTGAGCTCGGTGACTGCAGCGAGAGCACATCCTCCAATAATGGGTAAGAGAGAAAGGTAAACAGGTAAAGGGAATGTGTCGCCTAAGAAGAGCCTCGAGACGAGGACGCTGAAAGCTGGTTCGCCGCTTTTGATGATGTGTGTGAAGGACACTGCCACTTTGGACATACTCACCGTCGCTGCTACATGTCCGATCGTATGCGCCACCGCCACCTGAAACCAATCAAAACCCATCATCACACTGTTACATCACTACTTAACACTCTTAATCTTCGAAAATGTTGAAATCTGCATCATTTAGCTTCTAAAGTTCCAGACTTTAAACAGTTTCGTTTCACTTTTTTCTAGCTAAAGATCAAACATTTATGCGACGATGCGAATAAAGGCTTGATTTTTCTTACCGGGAACAGAGTTTTCCAGAAATCGAGATCGGTTTTGGGAGCGTCGGCGAGTCTAGTGACCCAAGAGACGAGCATCATGAGAGACCCACAAGCGAGAGAGAGCGTCGAAGTAAGCCACGGGTAAGGGAAAGCGTTGAGGACCTTCTTGTTGTAGATATTGAACACAACGTTCAGTGCCCACCAAGTCGCGAAGTAGATCCCGATTTTCACCTTCTGCGCGGATTGTTCGTCGGGAATCTCGATACCGATCTCAATCGGCTGAGACCGATCGGCCTCGTAAGCTCCAACCCTAAAAACATCACGCCTCTGCGCCGCCGCCGGCACGGAGAAATTCGACAAATTCTGGGCGGATGTAACGTGGAGAGGGAAATGGATAGGGTTCTCGGGGTTTCTGATAATGGGTAATGGAGAAAACCGGAGCTTTGCCGGAGCTGATCTCCTTACGCCGGTGATTGCGGTTAAGGAGGTTGAAACCGGTTTAATTGAAGAAATCATTGTTCTTAACAACTGGGGATCGGTTTAGGAGATGATCACGAGGTGGGTTTTAAGCTATTGTTGAAGGTTTTGATGGGAAAGAGAAAAGGAGCTGTTTTGTTTCTTGGGAAAATGGAAGAGACAGAACAGAGAAGCGAAGGTTTTTTATAGGTCAAGGAAGGAGGTGAGGGCAGAGAGGAGGGAAAGTATGGGTCTTTGTAGGTTGGCAACAAAATGAAATTCAGATTATGTTTAAATTACTGATGTGCCCTTGTATTGTGCCGATTCGTGGGCTCTATGGGATGGGTATTTAGTATTTGCGTCTTTGGTTGGCCGTAGAGACTGTCGATGAGCTAAGTTTAAGCATAGCATCCGTGTTTGGTTTTCATTTTGAAAGTTTGAAGTTATTATATGAGTTAATGATTTGTTAAGCAAACCAATTGATTCAATTCCACAATATAAATGACAAAGAAAGAAACCATGTCCTTTTAGTGTTGCCACACACACACAACAAAAATATCAAAGCTTACGGCAGATTTTTTGGTTGAAATAGTTACTTAGATCATGCATGATTGTTTGTATTTTTGTTCGATGGTATGATCGATCCAATAATTTATCACTTGGAAAAGCAAATGTAAATGAAAACGCTAACACACATCACACATGGCCTTGTTCAGTATACTTTTGACTCTCAATTTTCGATGTGGCAAAGAAGATCACCATGAATTCATTTATGAAATTAGGTGATTGACTACAAAGAGTTTACTGAAGTGTGGAATCAATCTTTTGTTTTGTGGATTCATGTTAAGAGTTTATTGATGAGACCTTATTTCTTCTACAATATGACATTACATATTTATGTATGCAAATTGTAGTCTTGATTTTGATACATATTAGTGCAAGTACAAGCAATCTATGTGAAGTGATTTTTGAACCGTTGAAACGAGTGTTTTGGTCACATGTGACTATGTGAGACAGCTTTATTGATTTTATAATGTCTGATGCTAACTCTCATAAGCTTTTCTCACCGTGAATTTTTTTATATAAACTGCAACGTTACAAACACAGCACTGTTGATCTTTCTGCCTTTTAACTCCAGAAAACGTGAGCCGTTGATATAAACATTAATATATTCTCTGATAACCGATCAAATATATTGATAGATTAAAAACAAAATGTTAAGTGAAGAAAACACATGTTAAAATTAGCTACAACGTAAAATTATTTATTTCAATATCATTAGTTAAATTTGAGCAATTGTTTCACAAACATAGTTATTAAAACTGTTCCAAGTGTACTGTTGAGTCAACAAAGAGAAGATGGTATGCCTCGATGGATGAGAGTGTCAAGATCTTTGTCGCCACGGCCACTACAATTCACGACCACTTTGGCACCATCGCGCAGAGTAGGAACAAGTTCGTCAAGGAAAGCAAGCGCGTGAGACGTTTCCAATGCTGGAATTATTCCCTCCAATTTGCTTAATAGCATGCAAGCTACAATCGGCAAGATATAAGAAAGATTGTTTTAAAGTGATGACAAATCTTGTAAGAAATAAAAAGAAAACAGCACTAGTAGCTAACGTTAAAGAGAGGTACCTTGAATGGCTTCTTGGTCCGTTGCGGTGTAGAATTCAGCTCTTCCGGTTTCTTTCAGAAAGCTAATCTCCGGTCCAACTCCGGGATACTCTAACCTACGACCATGTAAACAAGCATATTTGAAGCTTACTTATTATTTCACATAGTGCCTTCTATTTAGTTTACAAAATTATAACAAAAAACAAAACAATTTTTTTTTTTTTTTAAACCCGTAGATTAAACTTGGCCAGGGAGAAAATATGGTTAAATATGGTTAACCAGACCGGTTCATAACCAATTACGAGAGGTGCCAAAATTGATTATAGTATGTGTATCCGTTATAAATATGTGTGACAAAATTATCGAAAAATTGTATACGTTGAGAACGTAATTAACTTTCAAACTTAAAGACTTACCCTACTCCTATGGACTGTGGTCTAAGTATCTGACCTTGATCATCTTGCAATAAATAGCTCATGGTACCATGGTATACACCAATATCCCCAACGGCCAAAGTAGCTGAATGTTTCCCTGAATCTAGACCAAGCCCTGCCGCCTCGATTCCGACTAACCGTACATCCTCCTCTCCAACAAACTCATGGAACAAACCTAAGGCGTTTGAGCCACTCCCCACACAAGCCACCAGCACATCAGGCTTACCACCCCATAGCTGACTCGCTTGCCTTCTCGTCTCTTTCCCAATCACGGATTGAAACTCGCGTACCATTACCGGACACGGGTGTGGTCCTACGACCGTGCCCGATAAGTAGTATGTGATACCTAGATGTTCCACCCAATTTCGAATTGCCTCTGAACTCGCATCTTGGAATGTTCCTTCCACTGATTTAACCTATTAAAATAAGTCATACGAATTATTATGAATATTTTGTTGTTGCAACTTGCAAGATATATCTAGAACAAACCTCATCTATCTAGAAAAGAAACAAAACTTGGTATTAGCTTCTTTCTTTTTTGTGGTGATTTTACCATTACCTGAGCGCCAAGCAATTTCATGGACTGTACATTATAGGATTGTTTCTCCATATCAATGGTTCCCATGAAAACAGTACACTCCAAGGACAGCTTCGCACATGCAGCTGCTGTGGCGACCCCATGTTGCCCGGATCCTGTGGCGGCCACCACACGGCTGCAATCAAGCCGCCTAGCGATCATGGCCTGAGCAATAGCGTTGTTAATTTTGTGGGACCCACCGTGGCTAAGATCTTCCCTTTTCAGAAAGATCTCGGGCCCACCACTTCGCCCACCTCCGCCTCCGGTGGTTCGAGCTAGGTTCTTGTAGTGTTCAGTTAAACGTCCGGCAAAGCAGAGAGGCGTTTCTCTTCCTACGTAGTCTCTTAACGCTGTGGTAAGCTCCTCCTAAAATAAACATTTATAAATAATTATGTTTCATTAAATATTTGTATCATGTATGTTTCATTCAATTATTTGCATACTTTTTATGTAAAAGATAAAGAAAGGAAAATAGGTCATGAGATTCAACTGCAGCTGCTCGTATGTTGTTTGGAATAATCAACTTAATCATGAGATTCATGACTCTACTTTACTGCCAAGGTTTCCAATCCTGTTTTTTTATTGGCCAAATGTCAGCTGACTTCGAATCTATAATTTTATTTTTCTATAATTAATCTCTTATCTTTATAACCTAAAAAATCAAATTGCGTCAATTTTTGTATCTCGTTCACTTTAATCCGTTGGATATTTTTTAGTCATACAGTATATGGCTGGGAATCGATAAGCTTAATCAATGTGAGTATATGAGAAAAACCAACCTGAAATTCATGATCGCTCAAAACAAAATTAAACTCGTCTTCAAGATCTCTCAGGCGAGACATTAGTGTCTCCGGTACAAACTTCCCACCGAACCTCCCGAATCTACCGTTACCGTCGCCACGAAGAAACGTGCTCTCGTCGGTTCTTTTTGGGACAGAACCTAACGATGGACCACTCTCACGGCTGTATACACTACTTACACGGTGGTGACGTTTTATGGAAGCTGCGCAAACAACCGAAATTCTCATACTGTGGTTTCTTGACGATACCCTAGGAAGTGGCTGTCCTTGAACCTGGATTTTAGTTGACGACATGTTTTCGTTTTTTTTTTTGGAAACACTTGTATTTTAATTGTGTGTTTTTTTTTTTGCTTAGGAAACCTTTGTGGTGATCGATGAGTTGTTTTCTGTTTTATAATGTGAATGAGTATGGTGTTAACTTTTAAGAAAGAAAATGACAAAGAGTATATGGTTTTTTTTCTGGTACGCGTCCATTTGAGTTTATACATGTTTAACATACCGTTGCATACTTGCATTGGCCATGTACTTTCTCCTCTTGCTTTTTAAAAGAAATATATATTTAATATTGGAAAAAAATAAACTTTTAACAGAATAAATTCACGTTGGTTTTTTTTCCACAAAAAATAATATTTTTATGGAATATCTTGAAATTAATTACTAACTTTCATATTTAGATTTAGTATTGTGTATCCCGGAATTAACCGAAAAGGTTAAGGTTCTTTGACAAAAAGCTTCCGTCAATTTCGTCAACCTTTTTTTATTTTTTTTTGAACAACTTAATTTCGTCAACCTATTTACACACTGCACACGGAGTAATCATACTCGGGGCTATAACGAATTTCTGCCTTATTAGTTAGAACCGAGACCGAGAACTCATAGTAAGAATATCAAAGCTCTTCCTCATTAGCGACGAGAAAATTGCGATCGCAAAACGGAATTGGCATCTAGAGGCTAGGGCCAGTGGATTCCTCCATCCTCCTTCTCCTTCCACTACTTACAGTGAAAATATCTTTCAAAAAAAGACAAAAATTAAGTACCAAAAAAAATCTTCAAAAGTTAGTAGCAGCAAGAACAACACGCAACGCAAGTATGGAATTCTGACTGCTAACGTTATCTAGAAAATATTGTGCGTTGGGGAAATCGTTTATTACGAAGATAATAACAAAAGCAACATCACACAAGTTTGGAATTCTGATAATTACTTTAATGTTTGTGCGTTGATAAATCATGTATTCATATCTTAACTTTAAGGAAGAGCCCCTTTCACGTAGACAAGTGACAAGAACAATCATCTTCTCCTGTCGGAAAGAAGATATAACTAAGTGGTTGTAAATGCATGTTCACGAGATTCCGTAGTGGTTGGAGATAAGTTTTTAGATTTTTATTATATTGTTTTGTTTTGTTTTTCCACATTTAAAACGTACTACTGCTGAGAGGTTATTTCACTCAGATGTTTTCTGATTATTACGTTGCGCATGGACAGATGTACATTGACTTGGTTAAGTTGCCCAAACCTTTCTTTTGACTACCATGACGTTAATTTTATAGCTACATGCATCATACACAAAATTATATCGATTGTTTTGCTGCTGAGAGTGTGTGATTAATTATTTTCTAAATTTAAAGAATAGTTAAGAAAAGTCTTATAAAATATGCAATATGATCTGTCACATCACGTGATTTATTATTAAACATTAACCTTAATTACAGCTTCACGAAACAGAGCATGTAAATGGTTAAGTCCATACAAAACAGAGAAATACATCAAATAACACAAAGCATAGCACACACTACAACACAAAAGTCCAAGAATAAGACATCAAATCAAAGCCACTCTTGGTATGTAACTCCAGTGGGCTTCAACCATAGTCCTCCTTGAATAAGCTTGGCAACAGTAAACTGCTCAGCTTTCTTTGGGTCTTTAATAACTTTAAAACCCTTCCACTTCACTCTCTGACTTGTATCCGCTCTAGGGCCGTTATTAGCATACTCTCCATAGTACAATGTTGAGAGTGCGAACTCGCCGTCCCATGGGAACCAACCGGCCGGGTCAATGTGGTCGCCGATGGAAGACTGCATGATCACTGTCCTTGAGTACAACTTCCACGGCCGTCCAAGGAACGTTTTCACGGATCCTTTTACTGGAGCAAGATCAGAGCTAGCCGTTAATCTACATTTTTGGATCGAAATACCTGTGACCTGGTTCGGATCTTCCCTTCCCTGAGCCGTCAACATGTTCTTTTGCCCGGGTCCCGGATTCCGGGCCACGATGTCACAGTTTTGGAATACGACCGCAGAGTTTCCGAAGATGAAGTCTACGGTACCGGTTATGTAGCTGTCACGGTAGAATTGTCGAAGTGTGTGAGTGTAGAGCGTGTCTTGATATGCGTCTATGCGGCAACGGTTTATGACAGTTTGATCGGCACTCACACGGAGAGCCACAGCCTGGTGCTTTGCTGGCCCGGCCGTGTTCTGGAAACCTATGTCTTGTGCCATAAACCCGTCTCCATTGACGGCTGCACGTTTTTCAAACCGGTCTTGTAAGTTATTTGGATGCTAAATTGTAACATTTTGGTACATCACTATTTAGAATGTACATGTGTGAAAGAGAAAAATGTATAGTACCAACTGTGGCTGATCTGAAGGTGGTGGATCCGTCAACGACGTTTAAACTGCCGGTTATGATCGTTGTGTCTTTGCCATCGCCAACAAGCATCAAGTTCTTTTTCTTCTTCCCGATGTCAATAGTTTCCTTGTAAACCCCTTTCTTCACGTATATAACATATCTTGTGTTGCTATTCTCTGGTGCTGCCGCCACCGCCTCATTTACTGTTTTGTACTTTCCGGTGCCGTCTTTTGCCACCACGACGTTTGCGTTCACTTCAAGAGCCTAATCAAGGGTCAAAGAGTCAAAGTTTTAGAACTGGATAATAAACGTTTGCGTTTCAAAACGGTGTATACTCTCTGCGTTTTATAAAAATGTTAGTCTACTTTTCACAAAAGTGATTGTTTTCATCTTTCTTTGTCGTAATAATGTTTTATTTCCTAACTTCCCCATTTAACTATGCAAGTTAAATTCAGCACAATACAAATCTTAACTAGTAAAGTGCGGTTATACTTGGTACTGCAAATAATATTTTAAATTGTTTGAAAATTCCCAAAACATAGTTCGGATGGAGTATTACGTTGTAGTTAATGAGATTTGAATATGGATTTTGACTACCTTGGGAGAAGATTCTAAGAGCTTCCTGTCGAGAACATTTAGCCAAGACGGGAAGTGAATGGGAAAGATCATGTTGAGGTCATCTCTGGCAGGAAAAACGGAGATAAATATGGCTAGAGCCACTCTAGCCCTAGAAACCAAGTCTTCCAGCTCTGGCTTGACTCTAAGTTTAGAGTCGACGGAAACACCACTAATACCGTCTAAACATGTCATGTAGTTTGTAAGCACACTGCTCAACCAAGTGTGTACGTTTGAGTACGACTCAAGATTAAGGTTTCCTCCTCTGAGTTTCTCCATTGAACTCATCAGTCGGTCCTTTGATACGTCCATCATTTCTTGGCAGTCTGCAAAGATGGCCTCGTCTCTCACCCCGTTCGAGCGGATTCTAGCCTCACCCACCGTGTTCATCGCGCTCTCGAGCCGCCACACCGAGCTCTTCAAAAACACGTGCAATAGGTCATGACGTTTGAGCTTTGAGAGCGACAACGTCGTGAATTCGGACAAGAGAGCTTGGCATGAGTTTTGGTCGTGAGCTCCATGGCAAATCTGGCTCGGGGTTAATAGGGAAGCATCACTAGTGGTGTTAGTAGAGATCAGTTGGGCTGTGAAGTAGGCTGCAAAGCCAAGAATGGCTACAAAGGAGAGGACAAGGCATAAATTCCTGCGGTTAAGAGACTTTGGCTTGGAAAGAAGTGGTTGATTTGAATTAGACATCTGGTTCTTTGGTTTTAGTGGTAAAAGGATTGTTTGTGTTGGCCTTCCACTAGAGTGAATCATGCCATTTTATAGAAAACCGCTAGTGAGTGGAGCACATGAGGGAGAGCTATAATTTCCTTTTTTAGCATAAAATATTCATCATCATTGCACCGAATACACTATAAACTAATAAAAAGAAAAACACTCTACTTACTATCTTTCTTTCTAAAAGTCTAATTAAACCCAAAGGCTAAAGTTTAACTTTCTAATAGTTTCTGTTTTTGTTTCGATTGTATTTGAAATTCGTCACGTTTGGATTCTTTACTTCCGTCCACCGACGCTTAACACATCTACCCCGTTTTGTCAACGGCAGGTATGCCTATCCATCATTTGTGATTTTCATCTTTGACAATAACGAGAAATATATATTACCTATAAAAGTGAAACATCGCCATTTAATATGCAAGATTGAGGATGATCGTATAGAAACTTTTAAATCACATTCTTTTTTGTTTACGGACGAAAAAAAAAACTTTCTGACAGTTTTGTTGCTACAAAATAATTAAGGTTTTGAGTAGACCGCAGACAGCAAAGATTAATCCGTTTGTGTAAACCACTTTTTTGGGGAGCATATATATATAAACAGTTTGCATGAACTTTTAGACAGTCTTTCTAATTATCCCACTCCATCCGCTACAACCATTTAAAACCTAAACTTATTTGTAGATTTTCCCGACAAATTATATTTTTTCACACGAAAACTTTAGCTTAATTATTTGTCTTACTAAAGCGACAATTGCGTAAACTTTTCCTTTTTAGATAACTTGCTTAAATATATTAGGCGGCTTGACTTTTCAGTACGAACTGACTATATTTTTTACATTCAATAACTATAATAATTAACCTTGTGAAAAACAGCAAGTGCTATCAGTCATATATTGAACACCAGAGAAGTGGTATCAGCCATTATTTGAGATACATATACACTCTGTTTTTCATATCTGGTCCAAAAGATTGATTTTCAGTTTCCACTTGTTGTATCTAAATATTAAGACACTCTGCTTTTCATATCTGGTCCAAAAGATTGATTTTCAGTTTCCACTTGTTGTATCTAAATATTAAGTAAAGTTAAAGGGGCATCCAATGTTTATATTTTAGCCGATAGTATAACAATAATATATGTAGCTCTTTATATGCAAGTGTAGATTAACTAAAGTTTTTCTTGTCTTCGACTTTTGTGACAGATCGGCGACTAAAATCATTGTTTCATCTTTTAAATTTCAGAAGGATAATCCCACTGCGCATTTGTAGCACATGGAAATTATATTCACACAACAACTTTTGTCGATGCGCCCTTCTCAACATATTCCCACAACAACTATTTTGGATGGACTCTCTCAATAAAAAAAATATAGATGCACGCTTCTCCATAGTTGAAACATTACAGAACTATAGAAGTATATAAAACCCATTGGTTTCCTTTTTTCTTTAGAACTATCCCCCATTGGTTTCTTTCTTGTAGTGAAGAAACAAATTGTACTTTTCAGCCGAATAAGTATACTTTCATTGTAAGAAATGATCCGGAGAAAAATACAATTCAGTTCAAAGTTGAATCCTTTATACTTTTCTCTGCAGAATTTTAATTTTTGTTACTTCCAGCAATTGTTGCATTTACAGACGACGCAAGGTGGTGAAGTTTGGACCAGTGGGATTATTCTAAGCAACGCATAATTACAGTCCAATGTCCATGTTCTCTTTTTTTTTGCATTATTTAATATGCGGATAAGGATGTTGAAAATGAGGTTTTATTATTTTAAATATGTGACCGCCTCAAAATTATACATTACTGTACTACTATAGGTATACTATATAGGGCTACACATTTGTGCACTAGTAGCATTTTATATATACATATGTTAAGAATGAAATGAAAATCTATTGTTCAACAAAGATATTTCGATTACAACAATGATAAAGTTAAAACCAAAAAAACAATGATAAAGTTTTGTAGATCTTGTCACTTATGCGTTACAGTACCACTTGCACTCATTTTTAATTTTGATATTGTCCCAAGAAAATCAGAGCAAATGAAAAATTATTTCTCTCGATCGTTTTCGCTATTTTTTTTTTTTTGTTGTTGTTGTTGATAAAATCATTTTCGTTTTTACATATAATAAAATTGTTGTGCTATTAAAATGTAGACAATGTCTGTCCTATTTTGTGTCCGGTTAATTGTAGTATAGCTAAAACTTCTCTTTGGGTAAAGACTTCGGGTTGCCTTGTTTGGTCTGTATAAAAACCTCCCAATTATATAGTCTTTCTTTACCAATAAATGAGGATAAAAAAATGTACTTTTCATTTAGTGAAAAATACTTATATCACTTTACCGATATCAACATATTTTCCCCTCTCGATCTTTAACTTTAATACTTTTGACATTGCGGATTTGAAGCATGTTGCTGTTTTTTGGTAAATTACCCTGTAATTTTACATAATAATTAAGATTATCATAGGGTTAGTTTCTCTTTGAATTGTTTTGCTTCCTTTTGTTAAAGTACAACCAATTGAAGATCTTGTGTTTTCTAAAACGCCAATGTATTTAGTGGGGAAAGATTGGATAAATTATCATCATGCATATAACATACAAACATACATCGGTATTTCAGGATCAAACCCGATTATATAAAGAACAACTAGCAATACATGGTAATATATATAAAAATCTTAATTTATTTCCCGGTGAAGATATTAGTTATTTCTCTATGCAATGACCATATCGACTCCTTTATTGACTATATGAAAGTGAATTGTATTGTGTTAAATTGATATGATAAGAATTGTAGTTCTATATATGTTACTCTTTCCTTAATAGATCGGTGGCTGAAAGTCCGGTGCCTCGACCTTGAAGTTGGAGACAGCCCGCTTGGCATGCAGGGTCGCAAACCTCTTGCGTTGCGTCGGTCACTTTCATGCATATTGGCATACATTCTCTGTGGCACAACGGCATTACTTTCTTTCCTAATAGTGCTTCTTGTCCGGCCACAATCCTCGACCATGACAAAACCGTAATTATCATCAAACTCAGGGTGGCTAAGTTTCTTCTCTGGCTCTTCATTCTTTTTGCTTCGTATGTGAAAAGATCTGATCAGAGAGAGAGAGAGAGAGAGAGAGAAATGGTTTCCTGGAAGACAAGGAAATGATTTTGTACAAAAGGGAATGGTCAAGATTCAAAAGATAGCCATGGCCTCAGACGTGTTCGGTGTTTCCGCAAATTTTCACTATTTTTAAGAAATCAGAGAAGAGAAATAAAATTTGACACACAAAAACAAAAACCACGAATGTTCTTATCCTGTTTTAATTTACTTTTTGGAGGGGATCATGTGAATTTCCTTATACTAATTTTTTACTTATAGTATGGATTTTTACTTTCTACAAATACCGAATGATGATGCGAAAAAGAATTTGAAACATGCTTACACATATAAAAACAACATACACATTTTTTAACTAGTGGAGATGAAGGATCGATTTTATTTATGTCATCTATTATAATTAAGTACACTATAGTCGGATTTCGATATTAGAGAGATAAATTACAAACAAGTTTTTTTTTTGATAAAGGGTTTTCAATTTACAAACAAGTTGTAAAAAGTTCAACCATAGTTGAGCCGAAACATCTCATTTTGGACGAAGAAACTTCCTTGTAGAAGAGGAATCAAGTGAAACGTCTGCATGCAGTTCATAAATAACAATTTTATTTCGGTCAGCTAAAAATCACAAAATGAAGATATTAAGTTATTAACCCATGGAAAAAATAGTGTTTGTTTTTTATTAGCACAAGTAGAAAAATCTTGAAGATTAGCATTTTGTATAAAGCAATCTAAGCCTTTCGTTTCCAACAAAAATGAAAACTCAAATGGATCATGAATTGAGAAGAGGTAACTAGACCTGGCTAAACCTAAGAGGATGATCCTCGCCGTGTAACTGGAGGCTACCGCTCACAAAAACGAGGATTCCGCCGCAACCACCAGCCATTGAAGAAGGCTGAGAATCAACGGTGCTTATCACATGGCGACATTGATCGAACGGAAGTTGCTTAAGCTTGTTGGAAATGTCTTCGACGCCGTAGATCTTTTGGCCTTCAAAAGTGAGCAATGATGTGGGATTGTAGAGAGTGGAAAGAGAAGATCGATCGTTGTCAAAGAGATGGTAGTAGTGATTCACAAACGCCCTCGCCACTTCTTCTTCAATTCCTTTATTTGTCTCTGCCATTGTCGAAAATTGATTTTGTTAGCAAAACCAAAAGAGGAATAAACTTTTAAGGAGGGAAAAAGATGCTTTGTTTGCAAGAAAAGTTCAAAGCAAAGAAGAAAAAGATACCCTAAAAAGGAATTTCTTGTGAGTCAAGTCTTGCATAAATCTTCTCAAACTTTTAACCAATAAGAAGCAATGTTTGTTTGGTGGATTACTCTTCTCAATGGACGCACAAACAAGCAAGAACACATGATTCATCAGTTCAAGAAACTCAATTACCTTAAACGTCAAGATCCATCAATGCCAACTTGATGGCCAATATGGATAAATTTCATAACCAGTCTTCCAATTATCCAAGTAAACAACTTTCCTCACAGCCCATAACGATGTGAACAGAGCCAAAAACATAACCGCCCTCTGCTCGTTGAGGTCCTCAACTCGTACAAGAACATTGGTGACAAACGCCAAGAGCAATCCAACCACAGTGTACAACAACCCTACAATGAATCCCTCTGCTCCAAACTGAAAATCTGATCCTTGGTAGAACAAAACCAGCTTGCTTCCATCTTCATGATCTCGGACGTAAATTGGGGACTCCTTGATGATGTTATGCATCGTGCCGGCGACGCTGAGGAAGTAGACGAAAACGGCGCCGTATAGCCAGAATCTACGGTCGTTGAGAAAAGTTTCTCCCTTTAGAAGCTTTTTGATCAGAATCGGAGTCGAGACTACGATCAAGGCTGCGATTACACTGATCAGTGTCTTTGACAGAAGCGGAGGCCGATGGATCGGGCCGACGGAGAGATTGGTTCGACGCTCGACGAACTCTGCCATTGACTCCGCCATTCCGGCGAAGTCTCCGTCTTTCATTAGACCGGATTTGTCCTGTAGATTCTCCATCAGAGGGTCGACGAGGCAAACGTGCGGTATCGATTGGACGGCGAAGCGGTGGAACAGAGATTCGGAATCGATCTCGCAGAAGAAAATCTTTGTTCCGTTGGATCCATCGTTGTTGTTGTTGGCGATGAAAGAGGCGGAGACGATTCTGAATTCGCGGCGGAACTCTAGAAGCCGGAGCTCTCTGTTGCTGTGGAGGTAGACGGCGTCGAAGAATATTATGAGGGAGTAAGGTCTGGGAGTGGCTACGGAGGTCAGGAATCGGGAAACGCCGTCTTCGTCGAGACGGATCACGCCTGATTCGGCGGCTGATCGGAGCGAAACAAGGTCTCCGATGAGATCTGATTCCGAATCCGTGAGAGCTATGGATAC